CATCACAATTAACGACAAAAGAAACAAATGCAACAAAACAGATAGTACATCTTCCAAAAATATTATATTTTATTAAAAAAAAATATCATTTGTTATTTGGAAACTATCAAGTATGACCTTTTAGAATTTTTTTCGTAAATACGGGAAATCCTAAGTCGGGGAATACCTGCATTTGTAAATTAATTCAAACGCAAATGCTGAAATATCTCGATGTATAAAAAATGGACTTTTATATTACTACTTTCAAAAATAACGCTTCATATAATAGATCCAAGCTCACATTAATTGGATTTAATAATTGGACTTAAATCTACAAAAAAAGTGTAATATTGATAATAAAAGTGTAATATTCACTTTACAAAGAATATTTTTAATATTGGATTTACAAAGAGGACCAAATAAGAAAATTATGTGTTTTCAATTCAAAGATTCATGTGTAAATGCTAATATTAGTTTTATCTATTATTTTTACTATTAATTTTAACATTTTTGATGTAAATATTTCTTATTCAGATGCAAATAATTATCTTTTCTATTTAATTTTTGCTTTAATTCATTAAATAAAATATAGAAATAAGCTCAACATATTATTGTTCCTAACTCAAATTAATTGAAAATATAAAATTAAATTTAATACTTGAGATCATTAATTAATTATTTGTTACATTTTATTTGTATTGGATTTGCTAAGTTGATTATATAAATAAATGTGTGTTTTTTTTTTTATAATCCTCTTAGATTAGAATAAAGTTTCTTACTCGAAATGCAAATATTTATCTTTACTTTTTAAGTTTAGCTTTTAGTAATTTGATTCATTTAACAAAAAATAATTAAGAAAAAAAAAATTTCTAACTAGATTTACTAGTTTAATCTAGTGATGAATGAATAAATGAAGATGAATATGAGATTAAAATGTTGACTTGAATTTACTAAAAAATAAATATATTTAATTCTATTGAAATTGAAATTATCTATATCACTTGACATGTTAACAATGACTTAACTGCTACAAAAGACTATTTACTAAATATATTTTTGCTATATAGATATTATATAATTATTTTGCAACTAAGTTTTAAATTTTTACATATAAAATATTTCAATTTGTGTTTTACTATAATCATTACTTGTTATTATTGTGAATTGTCTAAAATTGTATTAATCCAATGAAAATATCAGAGTTGCATTGCCTAACTATTGTAAATTAATTGAATGCTATTAATTAGAAGAATATCCTGTGATGAGTTTCCATAGTTCCAATGCACTCTGCGCAATTAATATTTCTATCCAACTGATTACATTCATCGTTCATATCTGAATTCGTTATTCATTCGTTTAAGAATTAGAGAGAAAATAGAGTAAATTGTAATTGGTATTATTAAGTGAACGAGAGTTTGAAATGCGAATAGCTGCGTTTTCCAATTCGTATAGATAACAGCGCATTCAATTCCAATATTGAAAACAAAGTAATTGTTCAATTATTAATTTCATCAATTCAATTAATGTTCAAATACAAAGTTCAATCTGTAGAATTTTATGAATACAAATTTGAAAAAATAAATTAAAATCAAAATATTATTCAATTAATTGGATTTGCTTGTACATAATTAAATACCTCGCATAGTGCGGATACGATCACTATAGTACGGTTTGAAAACATAAAAATAAATTATATTTTGATTGAGCTATTAAATTGGTACACATTTTTTTTTATACATAAATGATTTATTTGTTTCTTCTGTATAGTCAAGACTCTGCTGTTTTTTTTATGCGGTTTTAATTAAAGTCCTCGATTAGTCCGGTTCGAAATCGTACTATGCGAGGTATTGCTGTATATTGAAACAAAGTATTTGTACATTAATAACTGTATTAATTTCTTATAGAAGAAAAAGTGAGAAAAAAAAAACTTTAAAATTAATGGATTTCAATTAATTTCTTTATCAATTTTTGTATTTTTTGAAAGTCATAATTATGTTTTGTAATTGATGATTCAAAGTTATTTATCTTAATTATTATAGAAAATAAATATAAGCAATTGCAGTTTCGAACAGTGCTGATTCACTATAGTACGATTTTATTCATGTTTTTTTTTTATGTGGTTTTGTAATTGATAAATTTCGCCTGTTTTTTTTTTTTCATTTTATATCAAGTCTCTATTAGTGCTGTTTATTTATGTGCGATTTTAAAATCATTGATTAGTCCGGTTTCAAACATATTATTTATGGAACCGCACTAAGCGAGGTATTTATGAAAAAACAGAATGTTATGATTTATATTTATAAACCGTTTTTTGGGGGTTGAAAATATGGGTGGTGAGGATCGAAAAAAAAAATAAATTTAAAAGAAAAACTAATAAACAAATCGATTTGTTTAGAGAGCGTAAAGCAATAACTTAAATCTAATCTCGAATTAATGAGCGGAACAAATATAAATCAGTCCGAAGGAAAAGAGGGACAAAAAAAAACGTATATACACACATAAATCCCGAACTCGGTAGCTTTTGACCTCTGAACCTGGGGCCGTCCCAGAAAAGGAAGAAAAAAAATATAAACGGAACGAACGAACGTCTTTTGAACCCTTTAAGAAAATTTATGCTCTCCGTCGATTCGCTACAGGCAATAAACGTTCTCCGTTTCGGCTTCCTCAAGTCCTTAAGTTGCGAGACATCCACCCTCAATGAAAACAAGAGACCGAAATAAGAGAACGCGACTGTTCTTCGTTTCGCAACGGATTCCATTATGTTCTTTTTTTTTGTTATTAAACTCGTTGATTTATTGTTAATTAAAATCGTCATTGGGTAAGGTCAATCCGTGTCGTTGAACAACGTAAGCAGTTGTCGGAATTAAAAAGGATAAATATGTCGCAAACAAACAAATAACATCGATCCAAAGTTTGATCAAGTCGTCGCCGTCATCATACATATAATATGCATGTTCATCAGAGCTTTCGCTCGTTCGAACGGCAACAAGGAACGGAAACGGACGGTCCAGATGCGTCCGACAGTGACGAAGGATAATCGTGTTTCTTAATCTGCAGAAGCATTTTTTATCTGGACCTAAGTTTCTATGCGAGATTAAACTATATTTGTAACGGTTTATCAGCATTTATATGTATATATTATTATTATTTTTATAACAGTCGCAAACAAATTTTCGAACTCCTCACATAATTTTATGCACAACAATAATTTCGGTCTACGTACTTTTCCACGCATTTAATTTGAAACTCGTCCTTCGGAATTCATTATTTTCTGTTTTAAAACTTCTTATTAACTATTCTATTATATAAGCGTACGTCGATTTTCAATGAAAGTAGATTTGATTATTTATTTTCGATATCAGTGGAAATAAAAATAATCGTTTCCTATTTTTATTTTCGTTATATCGGTGGAAAAGCGAAAGTGAATCAAACTTGCGATTATGATATGAAATTTATGTGATATGGCTTCTAAACCAAATTCCAATTCATACAATACTTTTATTTTATTGATTAACTTTAATCTTTAAATTGACTTATCACAATCATGAATTATACTAATTATTTTTAGAACCTTTTGTGGGCATTCAACTCTATAAATTTAATTAAAACTGTCGACTCTATATTTAAGTTTATTTCATTTCTTTAATTTTGATAAATTTTATTTGAAAAATTATTTACATTTTTCCAAAATTTTCTTCGTTTACTGTTAAATTTTTAATATAGAAATATCAAATAAAATTTAGTTAACTTTACTTTAACATTTTAACTTTGGTCCCAATTAGGGCCAATCAAAATTAATAAATAATTGGATTATTAATTCCTTCATTAAATTATAATTTCACATGTATTTTGTGTTTGCGATGTAAAAACTAATTTATCTTGAAAATATTTGTAATACTTTGATTGATGTTCATAAGATTGCATATAATATTTGAAGATAAATTGCTATTTTTTATGTGAAACGTAATATCAATATGCAAAATGTTGATAATCTAATCAATGATATTATCAATTAACACTAACAAGTACATTTTTGCAACTTCCAAAGTAACTTGTAAAGTATCAGATTTGATTATGTTTCCATAATTGCAAGAATTGCTTAAATTTACTTCTGAAATGTCATGTAATTTATTAGTTTGTTTCATAATTTATACTTGTTAAACATCACGTTAATCACGTATTTAGTAGCACACAAAAAGATCCACCAAAATCTTACTAATCATTTTTTAATTATTATTATTTTGATATCAAATGGATTGAATATAAAAACAACAAAATGTTGAATCAAATGGAACATTTAAAGTGAATTTATATATTATAATTGATTTGTTTTCAAATTCTTATTGTATCTAATTTAGTCGAAAGAGCTAACGATTTTAGTCTTTCAGCTTATATATAATAATATAATAGTCTGTTTCATTTTCTGAGAAATATATTTGAATAACGAATAAAAAAATGAAATTGTATTTCATAAAATGTATTTGTTTCCTTCAGTAGTAAATGTACCATGAATATAATTAGAATACGTTTTGTTGTGTTGGTGATAAATCTCGATGAGCGTGGAACGGATGAAACAAAACATGGAATGGAATGACGTTAATAATAATAAAAGAATCTTTCTCATGCACGTTTCAGTAAAACATGTTGTGTATATTTTTTTGTTGTTTGCTGTGGCCAAGAAGAAATGTATTTCTGTTTATTGCTGATAACAAGCTCCGAGCTACAAATTCGCTCTTATCCAGCTCGAACACGCAAACCGGACTTCCGTTTGGTAGCTCGATAACGCGCGCGTTCCTCATGGACCGTTTTGTTAATTACCAATCAGAAGGAGAATGCATAATGTAAAACAAAAAAAAAATAAACGAACGAATGTTAGGAAGTAAATATTGCGTTATAAATGGTGAATTTGAGGATTTTTTCGGTGAACGATGCAATGGTTGGGAATATTCGATTTCGTAGTTATGCAACCAGACGTGCGCGCTTTGTAGACCGGTGATCTAATTCGCTTTTGTTTTATTCAGCAGTTTTGGAGTACAGCGAGGAGGCGGCCCAGTATAGCCCCTCCCCACAGGGCGAAGGGGCGGTGCCATCACCGCATTCGCGTGCGGCCACGCCCCTCGAACGTTTGCCGTCCTATAACGAGCAAGAGATCGAATCCTATCCGACGGGAATCCACTCGGACGCCGCTGAATACATTACGTACGGCCGAATGGATGAGGTGAGGAATTTAAATAAATCCTATGACGTCCCATGTGTGTATACAGGGTGTATCAATTTCGATGTCGTTTCTTCAGGTATCTCTCGAGGAGTCACCTGGTGGTCATCAGCAGGAATATGTGCAGCTGGGACCCAGCTCTATATCGCAACAGCAAGGCTCCTCGCCAAAGGACAGCAACGCTTCCAGTCCAGGGGGTTCCCCATCGAGGGTCCATCCGACGACCTTCACGCATCTGGGCTCCATAACAACGAGCAGCGAGCAGCAGAGCTCCGAACCGCAGCAGATCACCCAACTGACGCAACTGTCGAGTCATATAAGCTACGGCGGCACCGTGGACTCCTCCACCTCCGAGAACATCTCAAGGTAAGCGCAAAAAAAAATGAAAATCGGTAACAAGACGCTTTCTCATATAACAGCATTCTAAAATCGACAAACCAGTATCGGAACTGTATTTGCATAGAATACTTTATCTTATCAATTCTTACATTTTTGTGATAACACCGGACGATATATCTGTTCGAGTCTCTTTAGTACTGCACTATCAAAACTCCAAGATGCTACTAGACTCATCATCATCATCATTAACATTTGCATAGTTACATTACATTTAAAGAACGTGCCAAAATTCACCACAAACTGCAACAAGGTAAGCGCAAATAAATACTGGAAATACAGTCGAACAGGATTATAATTTTTCGCACCAGACAAATGAAAACAAAAGGCGATAACGCAACGTCAGACATTTATCATTAAAATGCGTGATTACTAATATTTGAATATCTCCAATATGCAAATAGAAAGAGAAAAATAGATGAAAAGAAAGAAATGCAAATAAAATCTTTCGATTATATAATGCGCAATTAAAATTAGTCTTATCGTCCGGTTGCAGCCGTTTGTGTTTATATAAATAGCATAGCTTTTGTTCGTCATCGGACCAGTTGGTAACAGACCTTGACGCCCGTTATCGGTGTCGCCATCTGACCGTGATCTTGTCAACTGCATTCGGTGGGTCACCATAAAACCAATATCGTCTTTATTAGGCGAAATGTAAATAATTTGCGCTTCTGTTTCGTGTTAATCTTTTTTTTCTATCATCATATCATCATCTGTCGCCTTTTGGTGCCGATTATCTCGTGTTTGAAGAAGTCCTCACTGTTATGGTGATAAGAGGCAATTTGATATTTTACCAATAATCTTAATCTGATGCCACAATTGTTTCTATATTCCCAATATTGACATTACCTACATAATCAAATTTTTAGTTTTTATGTAATTTTAATGAAACATATTTTCGTAGACTTAATCTCCTATAGACTAAAATATTGAATTTTATATAAAATCTAGATAAACTTCAACAAATTAGTATAAAGATATTCCAAAGTGTATTTGAACATTAGGTGACAATTTCCTACTTCTTCCTAATTATTAATATTTGTATACTATAAAAACTGGTAGAAACACATTTCTGCAATAATACCAATATCTTCTTTACTCGAGTATTTTTAACTCCGTGATTTATTAATTTTGAAAGAAATTTATAAAAATATTTTTATTTTGTTTGTAGATGTAAAATTAAAAATAAAAGTAAAGTTTAGTAGGAAGTTTTGAAGAAATACCATTGTTGATTGATTATGACTATTTAAAAATAAGAGTATATAACAAAACAAAAGTTACTTATAAGTTTATGGTTTCAATGGATAAATTAGTTAAATATAGTCTTTGATACCTAAAATATAATCTGTTTAGAGATTTTTTTGATTAAGTGAAATAAAACAAATTAATGATATTTAGTCTACTGTAAAATGTTTTGTTGATGCAAGATTGACCAGTTGATTGGACAACCATTGATAAATATGATATCAAACGCGAACGTTGCGAATTTAGGAAAGAAAAAATGACTTCGTGAATGAATGGAAACGAATGTTTATGTAATTGCTTCTTGCGTTTTGCACATAATAAACAATGCAAATTGCCTCATGAAACGGAGATGTTTTGTCGGGTGGCCGAGAGCCTGTTATCCGATGTCAAGACATTCGCGATTTGATACGCGAATGTAAATAATATAATATGAAAATAGAGAGCACAGAAGAGACAGAAGTGAGCGAGGAGCAGAAGAAAAAAAAAAGCATATAAAAATATTACACACACACACACGCGCGCGTGAAGAATCAAAACTAAGATCTCGTGTTACGTAAGCCGTGTGAAGGCGCCGCGCACGCCTCCTCTGTCATCATCATCATCATCATCTTCCACCCACTCACGATAAAAAAAAAAGTATATAATAAGAGAATACGAGAAGAGATAACGGTGCAGCGGCTACAGGAAAATTATCACTTTTTGGCATCTTATTATTTACGTGTAGACATTTCTGCACTTGCGTCAGGCGTTTTCGAACCCCGATGTTTGTAATTGTTACGTCGATTAAAACTGATACGAGAACTTTGTAATATGACGAACTTAATTAAATTGCAAAACGGAAATTAAATCATTGCCTTTTTGTTTGTTTTTTGAATGGGATGCGATCAAATAAATGACTCATTATTATGTTCATTATCATAAAATCAAGTTAATAACTACTTGTTACTTCACAAGTACTTGTTGATAACTTGACAAGCGCTACGGATTTAACTTAAGAAACAAGCTTATCTCTAGTTGATATTATACAAGTATTAGTCGATAGATTGACAGACGACGTGAGCAAAATACCTTATAAACTTTACTTGAAATGTGACAAGTACTTTAAAACTTGTAGACAAGTCGATGAATTGACATGCGCCATGAACAGAATAACCTATAATCTTTACTTCAAATGTGACAAGTACTTATCATATATCATACATACTAGTGGATAAATTGACAAACACCGTAATCTTAATTAGAAATTTGACAAATACTTTTCAATTGTTTGGTACATGATTAGGTTTTACTAGACCATCGTCTAACTAATTTTCTTTGCAATCTACATTCGATAACATAGATTTATACAAGTTGAGACTATAAGTTAATAAGTAAGCAATGTTTAGTATACGTCTGGAGATTAAATCCTACAATAACTATATTGGAAAATACCATAAAGAAGTTACTAAAAATTAGAGATAATGTAGTAATTAACACTTTGCAACTCATTATAACTGATACGAGTTGCATAATAATATTGATGAAACCAAGTAATTTAATTAGTTTAAGTGTAGTCATTGAATCTTTTAGGAATTCTTTTAGTGGATTGAATGTATAAAAAAATATTATATTTTCAAAAATCTAGAATAGAAAACCGGTTTGATATTATTAAAATCTTTTCGAATCTTTCATTGGTTATTAACTTAAAATTAAATGAATTTTGTATCGAATGTATCAAATTTGTGAAATTTTCTGAATACTTTGTAGAGTGAAACTAACTTTCATTTTCTAGTTACAAACAGGAAGTAGACAATCTTATGGAAATGATCGTTTTTCGAAAAAAAAAAAAGAAGCAATGTCCCAAAACTAAAACACAAGATTAACATCTTAAAGGCATTTTAAAATTAAGGTAGAAAAGAAACTGTTATAGTACGGGTTTCTCTAAAATTCAGTAAATTTATTAAGGAAAAAAAAATAATTTTGTGTAATAATTTTTTGGAGTGAATCCGCATTATGCGAGGTATATTCGTAATATATGTAAACATATATCACATTTAGATAGATTTCTTCACAAGTAACTTTTCGAGTATTTTTAATGTTTAAAGAATGTATAAATAAGTGATTTAGGTTTTTTTAAGTTAGTATATTAATTAGCGTATATAAAAAGAATTAATTCATTGTTGATTATGTTTAGAACTTTTTTAAAAGTATTTTGTGCATAAACAAGTTTAAAATCTTGCTATAATACAAGATATTATAGCAAGTAGCTGTACAAATTATCAAATACAATGGATATTTACTTTCACATTATTATGTTGTAGTATTTATCAAATAATCACAAATGATAAGTTGGTAAACATTTTTTTAAAATTAACAATTGTAAAGGAGGAAACTATTTGTAAATATAAAACTTCCAAATTTTTGTATTATTACAAACATAATTTGGTATCATTATATAAATAAAAGTTTTTCAAAATAATGTTTGTCCTTTACAACATAACATATAAATATTGAATAATTACTTGATAAGAACGGTCATATTAGATCGGAAGAAAATTTGCTTTAAAACTTGAGGAATTTGAGACTTAACATCAATGCAGCTGACTTATTTACTTAATAAGAAAAACAATTTTTGCACTTCTTGAATGGACTGGATCGAATAGTTTGTAAGTTATCGTCGTTTCTTTAATTGCAATTCTGGGAATACCATTCCTCAGGTATTGTTTTGTTGGTGAGTTATTGCCTGTTGTAAATGGTCTCGGGTTGAGGAGGGCCGGAAGGAAACAACTGGTCTCATTGAATCCACGTGTCCTGGCATTTACCTGTTCTCCTTTCCAATTACCGGTACAAGAAACGTTACTTAGCCATGGAACGTGTCCCTCCTCGAAGGGTGCACATACTTTCTTGCGCAAGGAGCGCGTGCCGTGCCGCCCGCATCGGAAGGATTAAATTTTCCGCTCCATCCATCTTCTCTCTTCCACTCTTTTCTTTCCATCCGGAAGCAATAAAGACGCCGCCAGTAGTCTTAGACCATCGATTTTGTAAACTCTTCAAGATTATTACCGTACTTCGTCCATTCATCCATTCATTCGAAAGCTATAAAACATCATCAATACGCATCGGTTAGTTAAGCTCTTTAAGATTATTGCATTTCTAATCCCGGTTATATAAACACTTCGACATTATCGACAATCTCCAATAATTATATAATTTGTGATATAAATACTACGATCGCAGTTAACGTAGAATTCCTGGCTCTCCGATTAGATTCGATTCAGTAGTATTGTGTGTTATTAATGCTCGTTTACTGCTGCGCGAATAAACGGAATTTACTTACCGAACGAAACGATAAAAAAAAATAATACACACACACACAAACTTTTTGTTTTATTTACTGTAACCAACGTACTTTCAATTATATTTCGCGTAATCGACATGCCAAAGTTGATAGACCGTGATATCAACTAAACTCTGATTATTCTTTTACAGCTACATTGTTTACATATTTAACTAACTAAGTATCTAGATATTAACGTAAATTAAGTTGCTGTTTCATTAATTTTGAATACATAATTTTATTAACAATTTTTTTTAGTGATTAGATAAATCATATCAACTGAATTATTAGATCAACATTTTCTTAATTAATTGATTTCAAAATTAACTTAAAAATATTATGTAAACATATGTAATATGTAACAAATTTATATACGTTTATTGTACTGCTTTGATTAGTCCGCTTTCGG